AACAGGGACAAGGCAAAACAAATGCACTTTTATGTTTACTCTAAAGTTTTATTACAGTATAGTTATTTCTGCAAAATATGAGTTGTAGAAAAAAGCTTTTCTGTGTGGTTATTTCTGTAAGACCTGTAAGAGCTCTAGAAAAAAAAATCTTTCTGTCAATTGTAATTGAGTTCTATCATAAATAGTAAGATTTTCTCCATTTTGTAAATTAAATGAGTTGCTGGCGCTGGGCTGACCTGAGCACTCTTTAACAAACCACAGCCAGCCACGCTGCCGAAGTACCTCAAACCTATGACTGCAAAAGGGGAAATATGTTTTTTAGGGATTAACTGGCCCTGGTTGTTGCCCAGGATTATCCAAAAATAGGACCATTGTGCTTGTATTTAAGAACTGCCAATCACTCATAAAATTGAAATTTCAGAATTTGTTTCTTGTGGGCGGCTGTGCAATGGTAATTATGTATCTAATTTCCGTATGATATTTTAAAAGGAAAATGCTTCTCATGATTAATGTCATTTATATAAACTTATGCATGTGTGCTACATGATAAACTTGAAGATTTGAGCCTCTGTAGGAAATACTCTGACACAAAGCATCTTTTGAAATGTGTCAACACTGAAAGAAAATATTGTTTTCCTAGGCAAATAAATTTAATAAGTAAAACTTTTTCAGTAATTGGAAGGCTTAGTACCTGCTTCCCTTCAGTTCCTGGGTGTTAAATTCAAATTTGTATTTACAATTAAATTGTAAACTGTGCTTCTTGTTGTCTTGTAGTAATTTTACAATAACATGTTCATCCAAACTGTTTACTGAAGAGAGAAGTGGGTGAAAGAAATGTGGTTGTTAGACCGCTGGTCAAATATGCAGCTGTAACTGGAGTTATTCTATATCTTAGTTCAGTATTTTATTTATAAGTCTTACAGGATATGCTAGTGCTCTCTGCAGCCATTATGCTGAATAACGTAACTGCTGTTAATGCAAAGATGTCAATGGTGGCATAGCTTCTTTTAAGGGTTGCCATTCTACCAGAATAACCAGTGCTTAGTTGTTGTTTGCATCACCTTGCTACAAGCCACTACTGTTACAATATCTTAAAATAGGGGCTTGAAAAGCAATTTTCACATACAAACTTTCTGAAAATAATTGAAGCTTCTAGTTTTTTGAACCAGGTGAATTGACAGTTGCACACTGATACACACAGCTTCTAGCTAGCAGTTACTTTTAAGACCTAATTGTTCCCTTCAAGTGAATAGCAGCAAAATTGCATTCTAGAGCTACTGTATAATTTACTTTAAATAATGTCAAGAAGTCTTTAACATCCAGTTAGTTTTTAACTGAAGAGATTTGCATGAAAAATTCCAAATTTCTGTTGCTAAGTCATAAGTAATAAGCCAAAACAGTTCAACTTTTACAGGACACAATGTACATACGTTTCCAACAGATGCTTAATTTCTGTCTTTTAAGATTATATTCTTGTACTTTGTTTTAGGAAGAAAATATGACTGTAACAGAGGATTTTAGTAGAGTAGAAAATACTTACCAAATGGAAGCAGAGGTACGTATTCAACCTAACCAAAAACAATCATAAAAAAAGAATAAGAAATGTAGCAAGGATCAATGAAAATTTGCAGACTGTCTTTCCTCATGCTGAGGAGTAGATGTTCTTGGCAGTAAAGGCAGCACGGTCCAAAGAAACTATTGAAGGACTGCAGTTTAAAGTAGGGTTTTCAGCTGCAGTCTTGTGTTGTGCGCAGAACTTGTTTTCTGCTACCACAATGTAGAATTATTTTCTTCTCAGATGAATGCATGCTTTTTAAATATTACACGATGCAACAGAAGGGAATATTTGGTTGTGGGGCTCTACAGTTGTTGTTCTGTGCCAGTGTAAGCAACTCCCCACTCTCCTTCACCCCTAGCCCTTCCTGCCCTCTACTTTTTGCAAGGAGTTGTACTTCAGTGATCAGGTGATAGGTGAGTTCAGAAAGCCGCTCCAGTTAATAACTTTTTTTTTTTTCTGGATTAGCTTTTATTTTTTCCATTATTTTAGCTCCCTGAACTGGAGGCAATGCAAGGCAGAGGACAAGAGTGGATGGGGGACAACAGTGGTGTGGCAGCCCTAATCTAGATCTGCTTAAGCCACAGTTGAACAGCACCTGGACTTTGGTCTATTCTACGTGACTCTGGCATCAGCTTGCTGCAAGTAAAGCAAAGCTAATTGTTTCCTAGGTAATTGACTTTGAATTCTGTAGGTAAAAAGTCCTGTGTGAAACCTAAAGATTATGGGAATAATCCCATTTACTTCAAAAGCAGCTCAGGGGAGATATTTTGCATGTTCATTCTATAGTAGGAAATAAATGCTGTGCTGGAAACATTCGCTGAGGGAAATTATATGTTTTCAGTCAATTAATCTTTTTAGAGCATCAAACTTTAATCACTACTCGGCAGATTTACAGATCCTTATGAAGTAAACCTGGAAGTCTGCAATAAAATGATAGCTGTTTTATAGAGCTGTTATTTACAATCCCCTAAAATAGGGTTCAGACTCTTTAGTTTGCTTGCTTGCTTGCTTTAAGGCATATTCTCATCTAAATAACAGCAATAAATACAGAAATAATTGAGAATTTGGAGAACAACATTTGGGGTTTAAAATGAGTCTTCAGATACTTAAATGGTACGCATCAGTGTCATGTTCTGAATGACTTGAACTTCATAAAGTAGACACTGACTATCATGAGAGCTTAAATCACCGTGTTTTTTAGATAAGCTATACTTAAAAATTAATAAAACTATATTGAATTATTATTTAGGCTACAGACAAGCGTAGGCTTACAACTTCAGTCTTAAGTGGTAACTTAAGCAATTGTCTCCCTTCCGCTATTAATTTTTATACAGCAAAGATTGTACGTGGAAAGCGAATTACATGGATTTAGTGTTCATTTGTAGGCAGCTTCGACCAGCTGTAACTGCTGTTCAAAAGTTGTATGGTTGCCTAGGACCTGGGTGTCAAAATTTGAAAAATCTAGCCATAGTACTGCTGGCTTGGCTTCCCTGTACACTTAAGTAGCAGTACGGTGGCTCTTTGTGCAGGGATTAGTTTCTCCTTCCTTCTCCCTTTACGTACGTACTTGTTTCATTAGTGAAGCTTCATAAACCAATGAAGTTGCATTGACCAGTGTGTTTGCATATTTTAGCAATATAAATGAATTTTAAATTAACATACACTCACTTCTTTAGTAAAGTTTGCCATTATGTTTGTTATACATAAAATCATAGACATCATGCATTATTTCATTCTATAAACTCTTTTTACCATTTGTCTACTGTAAGAGTTTTTAGAAGACTGAAGAAATTCCCAGACAAATAGCTATTTTAAGGTATAATTAAGAATTCAAGATATGCTTTCAACTGTAAAGGAGATAAATTTTAATTCATGCTATAACAAAGGAAAATATGCAGAAGAATGAAGCTGTGTATGAGATCACAAAGCTCTATAACATCTTAATCATAATAGTTCATTTATTGCGTGACTATCTCATGGGATGAAGCTTATGTTGGTTTTGTGCAATTCTTAATATACTTGCCTCCTTATAAACCATAACTTCTTGTCTTTTACAGCCTTATCCAAACCTTGTAATGTCCACACTGGTTTTGCATACCTTCATATTACTGTTTCACACTTTTTAACACTGCTTTACATTTTAATGCTCAGGTATCCTCTGTAAATGTAAGTGGAATTTATTGGATCTAGCTCTAAATGAAAACTAGTCAACAAAATTCACAGCTATTGCTCAGTTGTTTTCTGCCCCTGAGGGTACCTGATTACGTGCTTCTTTTTAACAATAAAGTTCCTGAGTGCCCAGAACTGCCCCAGTCTGAGCAGCTTATCTGTTGCTTAAGAGCCACGGTTCTTTTGTTTGATCATTCTTTTGTTTCTTCCCCTTGAGGGAACTAATCTTGTAAACACTGATAGCAATCTGGAAAACACTATGACAGTCCTCATAGTGAGACTTCCAACTTTCCACAAAATATGACAGTTATCTGGCAAAACAGCACAAGAGGATGTATGCTTTTTATATAGGGCAAGAACTCCCACTGAAGAAAGCAAGCTCGGTTTAGTCTTGACTTCAGTCTTTGTTCAAATTGGTACTGCACCTTCCAGAAAGTGATCCAACCCCCGAGTTACAGATAAAGGGTGCGCATCCGAGTTGAAGATGCAGACTTGGTGCATCTTTGCACAAGAGGTGTGACCCTTTGTCCTTGTAGAAGATGGAATTGCCTTGTCACTCCATCTTGGTCACTTTTTAAGGCCCTAAGCCCAGCTTTGGCTCGGCTGTGTGAAGAGCTACTGAACCAGTGCAAGGACTCAAGCCAGGATGAGGTACATGTACTGCACTGAGAGGCTACCAAGGGTAGCAAGACGTGTGTATTCATTACTTTGCGGTAATTGTCAATACCCATTTTTTACCTTACACTGTATATGAAGTAGCCCCCTCCTCTCACTGAGATTCAACTTCCTTGAATTACCACGAGGTAAATCTATGGCATGCACACGGGAAGCTACTGCAGTGCAGCTGACATGCCATAACTTGAAATTCTGTACCGTATACCTTCACTGGGATAGGTTGCTGCATGGACTGCAGCAGTCACAGGGCTGACTGTGTGTCACAGGGGTTGGCAGTGGAATTTTCTTTACCACAGCTTTTTTCTTCCCCTCCTGTTGAAGCTGCAGTACTGTGTAAAAAGAAAGGAAGGAGTCAGAGATAAGAGAGTAGGTGAGCCTGACTTGGTGGTGAGAGCTGGGAAGTGAAGACGAGGGTTTAGTTCTTCTAAAAAAGAGTTTGGGACCCAGGATTTCTGATTCCTGAATGCTGTAGCAGCTTGGCATCATTGCTTCGCTCTTGGCGACTGTGGTTCTGCCTGGAAAGTTGCCACCTGGCTGCCACTTCCCCACAAGGAAGGCTATAGGGCTCTGGATCCCAGGCGGATAGTGATGCCATCTTTGTAGCACTTGGGAAAGCACCTGAAGTCCTGATACATCTGTATTTAATGCTGCTTCTTGCCAAAGCCACAGACAGATAGATATTTAAATTGTTTTTAATCCAAGTCTGAAGTGCCCAGTTCTGTGTAGGCACTGGAGTGAATCTGTTCAGCCAACACAGGGTTTTGAGCCCACTGCAAGCTGGACTGGGCCAGGCTTAGTTTAGTCTCATAGTTTAGGTTTCTTGAACCTAATGCTTGGAATTAAAATGTAATTGTCCTTCCTACGCAATGTTTTCCACATCATTTTGCTTGGCCTTCTGCATAATTAACATTTAGTAATCTAAAAAGGGAAGAACCAAGATGCATCTAGTCATGTGCGCCAAAGAGCCTGTTCATTCTTCAAATTGTCTACATACCAAGAATGCCGTACTTCCTCACAAAAAAAAAAAACATTTCTTCATCCTCGATTTTAAACCATTTTATGAACTGCATTCTGTTGCAAACCTAATGATAGTCTCTAGGGATATATAAAAGTGTTCTAGGTAAAGAAATGTTGGAGTTATATACAGGACTGGTATGTTTAGTTAGTTTGTACATATCTGGCTTTATACTGATTTAAATAAAAGTGTTTAATCTTAGGGGAAAATTGAAAAAAATTACTTGTGTGATGTCTGTGTTTCCTCCCAGGTCTGTATTATATTCAGTGATTTTGGAAAAATGCAGAATGTTTGCAATCTACTCATTGAAAAGTTAGGAACCTCTGTTACCATCAGTCCACCTCACTTCTACCATACACCAGAAGCCATAGACACCCTTCGGTAAGTTCTCTCTCACACCACAAATTGTACAGCCTCAGATAACAGTTAATATGAATACATAATTTCTACTGTTTGTAATGGGAGCAAATGGTTTCCTTCACACCTATTAAAATTTATGCTCTAGTATTTCAGTATTTGTTTTAAAATAAATTAATGCCATTCAGTCTAGAAGATGCAGCTTGTCCTTTCTGCAGTGTCCCTGTGCAAAAGCAGAATATGATAAAAAAATATTTTCCCACTGATTTCCATTGGAAGCATGATCTACTGTGAATATTAGGCCAACAGAATTTGACTTCCGTTAGATCAGTGTGTGTAGGTTTAGTTTGTATTTATTCATGAAGGTGCAAGTGTGTTACCAGATATTGATAATTCTAAGTACCTTTGCCAGTTCCCATTACTCTTAGCTGCTGACATGTATGGTGCTTGCTCAGCATTGAAACATGCTACTTTGAAGCTCACAGTCGTGTTATTTTAGGTTTTAATTATTCAAAGTCCTGCTTCTCCTATTGACATTGGGGGGGTGCAGAAGGAAGTTTAATCTTGGTTTGGGTTTTGCCTCTTTAAAGAAAAGAATCATTCCTGGTCCAAGAAGCAAGCTCAGCTAGCTGCTGCTAACAGTTCTGGAGATGTCAGAAGTGTATCTCAAAAGTATCTATGCAGGAGTCTGGAAATCAGGCCAGCGGGGTTAAATAGGTGCCTTACAGCTGGGCTGCCCAAATGCTTGGAGCAAGGGTTGAACTCTTGCTCTGCACCCCACACCAGCAGCATATAGGCGTCAGAAATGCTTGATCATACCTGATGAGGATGCTGACATTTTCTCTGCACAATCCCCCCTTAAGCTCCTAAACTATCACCTGGAACCTGGGGTAAGGTGACGTGCCTCACATCTATGCAGTTACAAAAGCTGAGGCATTAAAAAAAAAAAATGCTTGGCAGGAATACTTGTACATCAGTTGGCCCTGCTTGTTATTGTGCTGCTTTTTCTACCTCTCAGCCGTCAAGTATGCGTTGCCGCCGTTGGAAACACACATCGGAAAGCTCAAGAAGTCTGTCGACTGTTTGGCCAGTCGTTGGGAAAACCTTTATTAATAAGAGAAGAAGAAACAAAAGAATGGGGAGGCCACGTAGACAGTCATCTATCAAAATCCCCGGATTCACTGACTCTGCAGGAAAGAATCCAGAATGCTACTGCTTATGCTTCTTGTAGAGTGTTTGCTGTGTTTGAGATAAAGGGAAAAGAAAACAGAAGAAACAAGTTGCTCTAGAAACTTTCAAATCCTACACGTTTTCTTAATAAAATTTTTATGCTTTATTGAGTTTGTTGCTGTTTTTTACTTTATTATTATGGTAGCAATTAGAGTTAAGAGAGGATCTTAAGAATAAGGTTTGTGCAGTGAACCAAAGTAGGTTTCTTAACTGTCCAGGTGCAAAAAAGTAGATTAACGCTTCCTTTGCGTGTGTTATTTGAAAGCAGCACAATGCATGCTTTTGTAAAGAGAATAGTCAAAGTACTGCAGGATTTACTTACTACAGCCCTCCTCAGAAATATTTGTTTCTGTTTGCCTTTATTTAGCTCTGGCCCCTAAAATTAATCATAGAATCATAGAATGGTTTGGGTTGGAAAGGACCTTGAAGATCATCGAGTTCCAAACCCCTGCCATGGGCAGGGACACCTCCCACTAGACCAGGTTGCCCAAGGCCACGTCCAGCCTGGCCTTGAACACCTCCAGGGATGGGGCCTCAACAACCTCTCTGGGCAACCTGTTCCAGTGCCTTACCACCCCTAAAGTGAAAAACTTCTTCCTAATGTTTAATCTAAACCTGCCCTCTTCCAGTTTATAGCTATCCCCCCTCGTCCTATCACTACCTGCCCTTGTAAAAAGTCCTTCCCCAGCTCTTCTGTAGGCCCCCTTTAGGTACTGGAAGGCCGCAATAAGATCTACCCGGAGCCTTCTCTTCTCCAGGCTGAACAGCCCCAGCTCTCTCAGCCTCTCCTCATAGGAGAGGTGCTCCAGCCCTCGGATTGTCATCGTGGCTCTCCTCTGGACACACTCCAGCAGGTCCATGTCTTTCTTATGTTGAGGACTCCAGAGCTGAATGTAGTACTCCACGTGGGGGTCTCACGAGAGTGGAGTAGAGGGGCAGAATCACCTCCCTTGACCTGCTGGCCACACTTCTTTTGATGCAGCCCAGGATACGGTTGGCCTTCTGGGCTGCGATTGCAGATTGCTGCCTCATGCTGAGCTTCTGGTCAATCAGCACACCCAGGTCCTTCTCCTCAGGACTGCTCTCCAGCCATTCCCCAAATTAAGGTTACTATGAAACTACAGTTCTTAACTGCCCCTGCAACAGCGCGAGATATTTGATGTGCAAAACCTTTGGTACTCCTGGCTGCAACTGGGCTATATTTAAACCTTTCCTCCCAAATCTGGAAGGAAGTTAATCCCCATTCTGAGTCATGGTAAACTGAACATGTACTGCTTTCGCTTTAGAACTAAATGGATTGTTCAACATAAAACATGCTTAGGAATGTTTTATTTCATCATAGGAAAAAATATACATGAGTTTTATCCTGGTGTCTATTTTCTCAAGTTTAAAAAGGATTTATGTTGTCTGGATGTACATTACATGTACAAATACTTGAGTACTTCAGTCGTGAGGATAGATTTTTTTCAACCATGGCTGCATAATGTATTTTGATCCATCATATCCGCTGAAATAGGCTTTCATATCAGGGTGATGCACCTGAGAAAATAATATTTCAAGTTGAACAAGCACCAGGATTAGCAATAAATACAAACTGATACTTAAAAGAATCGTTAAAGTGACTACAGTTAACTTTTTGAAAACTCCTGATTAGTTTTTAAATACATAATATACATAGAGATATATTCGGTGGGATTTTCCACGTACCTTAACCTAATTTATGTCATCAGAACAGTGGCTTTCTCAAAGTACTCTACAAGTGTTGAACATATCTAATGAGATATTACATGCTAGATCTACACCAGCATTGATGTTTTAAAATCAGAACTGTTTCTTATTGAAGTAGTTGTCACTCATTTGTTGGTGGTAGAGTTACTTGGGGTTTTTTTTCAGTTGGATCTGTTATCTAAATCAATTAGCCAGCAGGAACAGTAAAGAATTAGCCAGGGAAATGGTGACACAGCAAGTTGATGGCCTTAGGTACCACCATGTCCAACTTGAAGATGCAAATCCACAAAGGGCAATCCAAATTACATTCTTTGTCATGATGCAGAAAGCCTATCGTGAGCAGATTAGAACTGTCAACTGGGAAAGGGTTAGGACAAGTCTAAGCATTTTCTCATCAGTCTCAACTCTTGAGGCAATTACTCTGCCTATTAGGCTGTAGGAAAGGCTGAGTGAGGGCAATCCACAGACCTTCTTTTGAACTTGAGTTTCAGGCATGACTCACCATTTGTAATTAATCTCAACTAGACAACTTTCACATATCTGATTTTTGTGAGCTTGTTACCATCAGTTCCTCCAATAATCCGTGGGGAGAATTACTCTGTCATGCAGGTGAATAAAGCAACCTGATATCATAAAGGCTAGTTTACACAGGGTGAATGTTTAAGGTGAGATATCTGTTTCTCCCTATGCACTATAAAGGTAACTGAAGGTAGCCAGCTGACTGACATAATGAAAGGTGCATTTTTAGACACACAAGTCAGAGTTGTCAAACCCCAATTTTAAATACTCATGACACTTATCTGGGACAGCATAGTGCTTGCATATTAGCATATTTCCTGCATAGTTCCAGGCATGTTAGCATATTTTATATTACAGTCGGTGGCTAAAATAGAAACAGGACTGGGACTAAGGCTTCTCCCAAATAAAAGAGGTAATGGTGTCCCACTGTTTGGCCCCACTGATTGAAGGGGGTCCTTTATGTGCAGTGGTACAGTTTCAAGAGAGAGCATGGAGAGTCTTCAGGCCAGCCTAACTTACACAATTCCTTTGGGGGGTTCTCCTGACAGGCAAAAGATGCCAATCTGAATTTCCTCTGTTTGACTCACCACCACGAACCTCCTGTTAGATGAATGGTTCAGTTACTTACTGTTATTTTAAGTACAGATACTGCTACTATCCACTATTTAAAAGAAGGCATCCCCAATAGCACTGGATCTCTTGCAAAAAGCTGTCTGTATGTGGCATGCATGCCTGAAGGCCATTTTGTGGATCAGAGTCTCTGACTAGTTTAAGAATCAGGTGCACCTTGTATAAGCTCGAAATCAAAAGCTACCAAGACCGTGATACACAAAACAGAATTTTTGGCTCCCAGAGAGCCTTAAGAAAGGAGACATTATTCAGTCTGGGCAGCAGCTGAGCAGGAGCTGTTTGAAATGCAGATTTTTCAGAGTGGAACTGAGAAACCAATATTCTTTGCTAGACCCCATAGAAAGAGATTAAATGACTCGTCCAACTTTGATAGGTCAGTGAAATCCTAAAACAAAAGTCCATGTCTGCAACAGTCTGTACATAAGAGAAGTAAAGCTGCTAAAGCGCTTACAAAACTAGGCAGTTGGATACCGTGAAGTAGGCAGTACCTGGTTTGGTCATTTATCACCTTCCAAAAACACATTCTTAAAGTACAGAAGTAATTTGTTTATCTGCTTTCTCTATTAGTTTTCACTAACTTCACAAAATAGATAGTATCTATTAAGTCAAAGGTCAGCCAAGTTTTAAACATACAGAATAACAAACAAGTTGCAACTGAATTAAAAAATAAATACTACCTCTAATCCCGTAATAATTGTTATCTCTTCCTCAGCAATGTAAGCTGTAGATTTGCCAAATCCATTTGCTTTGTTAATTAGAATTCGATAGTGAGGAGTATCTTTTAGATCCTGTAAAAATAGAAGGAAAATAAATAGCCTCAAGGGGAAATGATGACTAAAGATTACATTATATAATCAGTTAACTCTCATTAGGCTTACAGAACCTAAACCCACTCATTTTTATGATCTTACCAACATCAATTTGGAAAATTAAATATAAAGCAATCGAAACTGCAATACGTGAAGTTCTTGGCATATTTGAAACATTTTTGAAGAGTCAAGATTTTAATATATGTAGGTCCCATAACAATTTGTTAAGTCACCCTTCTTCCTTCACAAGTGCCAACAGAGAAAACCAAAAAGAAAGAGGCAAATTCAGAACATAATACCACCTCTGACAATCTTGGTCCCCGATCCCAGACAGAGCTAAGGCAACTTCTATGTGTATATAAAAATCTTCCAGCCAAGAAAGGAAAAGCATGGCTTACTATTATTTTTACAGTGCCTATGAATACAAATCATGGGCCAGGGTCCCACCATGCTTACTGCTATCCATAAACATTCCTGCCCAAAGTAACACACAATCTAAACACAAAAAAAGCAATGGATGAGTACAGACAGATAACTGGAGCTTATGAAGCTTATCGATCAATGTGAGAGGCAGTGGCCTCCGGTCAATGACACAGTAGAGAACTGAAAGTCACAGAAAGGCAAGGAAAAGTTGGGCTGAAAGCCTAGCTAACGTTTAGAGGGGATTTGCAAGGACCAAGCTTAGTAGTTGCCTTGTAATGGTCAAAAGGCAGTTTTCATAGCTGATGCATGTAACGTGAAAAGGCAAAGGCAAGTTAAAAAAAAAAAAACAAAAGGCACACACTTAAACCCCATGTCATCACTATTGAAATTAAAACAATAAAGATGAACACAAGGTCACTGGGAGAACAGAACAATATAAAAAGAATCAGAATGCCTGATGGGAAATTCATGGGTGTTCAGTTGGTGACAATACCGAGAGGAGAAAAGAAAGCAAAGATGCAGGTGTTTTAGAAGCCAAAGATGAGTGGCAGGTGGATTAAATTACAGCAGGGAAGGAACAAAACTCACAAAACAGGACTGAATGTCTGGTCTCAGCTGAACATGAATTCTCTGCTACAGGCAGAGTTTCTTGTTTTTTCCCCTCATTTTTTTTCATTTTCAGTCCTCTGACTTAATGACTAGTGCCTTCCTGCCACTTAAGCAGCATGTCAGCGGCCAACCCACAGAGCACGCAGCACTGTATTATCAGAGCAGCACTGTCAACAAAGATTTAGCATCCGATTTTCAAATACAACAAGGACTTAGGCTAGAGAATTTCAAAAGCTTCAAGAATTCTAACAAAATATGTTGTTAAATATATTTACATTCCAAGTATCCAGATCTCAAAAAACACTGCTTTCTAACTGAAATTGATTAAACACAAAGGATTACTTGCATTTCTTAGGTGCAATGAAGATGTTACAAGTTATGGATGATCAA